TCCCTGCAAAGGAAAACGTACCACCCCAGTGACAGCTTTTGAACCTTTTTTTCTGAGAGTGTACAATGAAAGTCAATGGGGTCCAAAGCACCATTGGACTCTGTGTTCAACAAAAGAAACAAAAGTCTTGCAGGTTTGGAAAAACATGAAAGATATTAACTGCTCACGGCATGCTTTTTAGAATTTACGGATACCAAGGGACATATTAGCCCACTCGTTTGTTTACCCCAAAGTAAACATCAAGACAACTCAGCAGAACTGAGCGAGCCACCCCATGACATTCATTTGTGCTTTTATTCCAGAATCACTGTGCCCTCTGGGCACTGACTCAGTGTAATCATAAGAATTATTCACTTTCTCCATAAACGGCTGTAATGATTTGCGTGGGAGTTCTGGACTGTTTGCAGACAGGAAGTAAACAGGAACAGATTTTTTTGCCGGTCTATAGAGTTTTCTGTAATGCCTCTCAGTTGTGCTAATGAGCAAGCTTTAAGAGACTGTGTTTTATCCTCATTAATATGGGCAGTAGCTAGCTTTATTTTTTCAGCAAATCTTGTTGATGTAAGCCGTTGAGCGAACACCTGCCACAGGATGCATTCATCAACCTGCGCTGCTTTTGTTTAATTGTGACTGATGACTCAATTTAGGCCTTAGCAGCAAGAGACCAATCAAAGCATGGTGAAAGAAGTTCAGTCCAAGTCTTGCACAGGATTCTAAATTGATTAGCTGTGGAATCCCCCTAAATCAGCACAATATAATCTTTACTATTTTCCTGGAACAGACTGATTTGTCACTTTTATCTGTTGTGCGTAAAAGTGTTAAATATGTTACAATGACCCCTTTTAACTTTTAATCAACATTTTTTACATCATCATATGATATTTATTCCAACAGTTTTGAGCTTAAATGATCCTTTCTCATCTGTAGATTTTACCGATCTGTGAATTTACAGTATATTAGGCTGGATTTAGATTTTTTTTAATGTTAATTAGTTTGAATTAAATTAATAAAATTTTAATCACATGATTATGTTATTTGATAAAATTCATTCTAACTATTTTAGAAGATATAAATGACATATGATTAGATTTTTTATTTATTGATTTATTTATTTTTTCAGCTATAACATTCACAAATGAATGCATGTATTTATTTTCCAATCAGCACAATATAATCTTTACTATTTTCCTGGAACAGACTGATTTGTCACTTTTATCTGTTGTGCGTAAAAGTGTTAAATATGTTACAATGACCCCTTTTAACTTTTAATCAACATTTTTTACATCATCATATGATATTTATTCCAACAGTTTTGAGCTTAAATGATCCTTTCTCATCTGTAGATTTTACCGATCTGTGAATTTATATTAGGCTGGATTTAGATTTTTTTTTATGTTAATTAGTTTGAATTAAATTAATAAAATTTTAATCACATGATTATGTTATTTGATAAAATTCATTCTAACTATTTTAGAAGATATAAATGACATATGATTAGATTTTTTATTTATTTATTTATTTATTTTTTCAGCTATAACATTCACAAATGTATCCATTTATTTATTTTCCATATGTTGGGTGATGCATCATCACCCTGTATGCATGCTAAACTCATCTCTGTTATAATTTATATGTAAATTTAATGTAAATTTAGCTCATTATACAGTAAATAAGAAAGCCACCACTATTTTCCTGATGCAATTAATGTTGCACGATTCCTGCATGAAAAGCAAGTGGTAAACTGAGTTGTATTTTTAAAAAGAAGAAGAAGCATATTCTTGTATTATTGCGTGTGTTTACATTTTCCTTTGATCATGGCTGCAGTAATTTATTAAGTAATGGAGAAGAGCATTATAACTGGGCAAATACACAGTGAAGTCGATGCACTTTAAGCATTTTAATAAAGCTGATTCAGGTGGCTGGTGGAGGTAAGCTAAAACTCACAGAGATGCACAGAAATTATGATGTTCAAATTCAGTTCAGCTTTCAATGTTTGACAATGTTGGCACCATTATCTAATTTTCATAATTCCTTTCAGGGCTGTACAGTGCGACATATATGGTCTGTGCGATTAATAAATTTACTACTGTAGCACGCGTGCGATACAGTTTTGCATGTTCATAACACAGCCGCTTAATAGTGTGAAGTGATTTCGTTGTGCTTGTTTGTGTGTGTGAGATTGATTATACTTGGTAGTTAGGGGTGTACGATATGACGATTTTTGATCGTGGACAATTAAAATGTCTCCACGATCTGCTTTTGAAGAAATATAATTGTATCTGCTACAGCGCACATTCTATCAGCTACAGTTCTGGCGCCTCCTCCGTCTCAATATAATGTACAACGCCACATGCATTCACATCAGTGTTAGCTCAGCGGTAGAGTTACTCTCACGGGACACTGCACTTATGCGCAATCACAAAACTACATTATTTCATCAGCTTTAAAGCAATACCGGTTAAACATTTAATTCACGTGCTGTTCTGCATGCGCTTTTTCTGAGCGCGTACTCAAGAAGCGCACTGAGAGCCTGTCAAAAAGCGCCTGATTATTGGACTAAGTTGTCTTTCGCGTCTGATTGATTTAGCGTCTAATACTGTCAAAAACACTCAAGGTTTACATATAAACACAGTTGGTTATGTCTAAAATGAAAGTAAACAGTT